ATAAATATATTTAACAAATATAAATAATTATTTTTTAAATATTATATTATATTTTAAAATAAAAATATTTAAATATATTTTTTTTATATTAATTATATTTTTATAAAATATTTTTAAACAAATAAAAAAAACATTTTATTTTTTAGAAAAATAAATAAATAATAATTTCATTATAATATTTTTACTTTTTTATTAATAAAATTATTTATTTCATTTTATTTATTTTATTATTTTTTTTAATTCAAACTACTCTCAAATTGATTATTTTAAATATTAATAAGCTTTGAATCTTTTAAAATATTAAGTTTCTCAATAAAATAATTATCTCCACAAACATCTTTATTTTTTTAATTCTTATTCTATATCATATTCTTATATTTTATCCTTCTATTTTATAAAATAGACTCATTCTTATATTATTCCTCTAAAAACTACTTTTAATTATTAAATATTTAAGTATTACTATCTTCTTATCTTTATTATTTAATTTACATATCTAAAAATTCAATATCATTTTTCCTATATTTTTTTCTTCATCATCTATAATTACAGTCTCATCTAATAAAAACTTATTATCTTTCAAAATACTTATTTAATTTTCTAATTCTTTGATTTTCTTTATTTATTAATTATGTATATATTCCAATTATTCTTAATTTTTCTTTATTTCATTAATTAATTATTATTCGAATTCCTCTTTCCTTATACGTATATTTTTATTTATTTCTACAATTTAAACCTATGTAATAACATAATTCAAAACTATCTTTTAATTACATTGTATACATTAGTTTAATTTCTAATCAAATAATTATCGGAAGCATTTTTCGTGAAAAGCATGTCCACATTAATTTATAATTATAGAATCTTCTATTATTTAAAGTGTTATATTACATTAAGTACACTAGATTTTTTTTTGAAGAAATTAATCAATTTTAATCATTTTTTTTATATATTTTTATTTTAAAATTTTGGCAATAAAAAAGTAATTTTGATATTATTATTAATATAAAAAAGCATTATAAATTTATATTATTAAATTTTATTATTTTGATTTTTATTAAAGGAAATATAATCTATATTACAATTATTTTTATAATTTTATTTAAAATAAAAAAAATATGTATGATAATTTATTATATATATATATATATATATATATTTATATATTTATTTATTTATTTATATAATATTTTTATATACTTGAAATTCTATATTTATTATTTAATTTCATGTCAAACTTATTAAAATAATTAAATTATGATATTATAAATATTGACTAAAATTAAATAGCAATTAAAGACTCTTAATAATTTTTCATAAAAGTGATATCTAAAACAATTTTAGATTAATAAGATTTTTAAATATATAAATAATTAAATCATCCAAACGTATATAAATTCTTTGAACAAATAGAAACTGAAAATGAATTAATTTTAATTAAAAAAAAAGCAAATTAAGGAAATTTAAAGGAATATTTATCCACATAAAATATAAAAGAAGAATAGTTAATCTATTTAATAGATTAAATACTTTTAGGTTTAATGTATATGCACAAAGAAAAGTTAATACACGGAAATTTATCATTTAAAAAAATTTTATTTGAAAATAATATATGTAAAATAAATTACAATCCAATATAAATTTAATAAATTGACACTTTTTTTTCTCCACCTGAATATAAAAAAGGGTTTATAAAAAGCGAAGAAAGTGATATATGGTCATTTGGAGTAATTTTATACTATATATTTACATAAGAAGAATAATCAATTAAAATAAATGAAAAAAGTTATAATTTTCCGAAAAAATAAAATTATTATTAGATTAAATATTCGTAGAAGACCCATAAAAAAGAATAAAATTAAATGAAATAAACTAATAATTAATTTAAAATAAAATAAAATATTTTTAATTTAAAGAAGAAGATTCTTTTTTAATGGATGATTTATCTACTTTAGATGGACCATAAATTAATATTGATTTTAACACAAATATTCCATTTATAAAAAGAGTTATAGGACCAAGTATTAATTTCGTATTACCTCCATCAAAATATATTTAAAAAGAAATAGTAATAGCGAAAATTCAAGCACTGTAATATTTAATTATTCAAATAATAATTCATATTATAATAAATAATAAAGTGAAATTAAAAATAATGATGATTAATAAGAAATAGAAATGTAATATAATATATATATATATATAAATAAATATATTTAATTATGTATTTATTATAATTTTTATATTATTTTTTTAATTTTTATAAAGTCAAATATAAAATAATGAACAATAATTAAATTTCTATTATGAATAATTTTAAACAAATAAAAACTCGTATTTATAAAAAGAAATTGTAAACATTTATATTTACATATATATTTCAATTAACAGTTATATTAAAATTTATTTTTTTATTTAAATAATTGTTATATTTTTAATATATATATATATAATTATTTCTATTTTTATATATTTATACATATATTATTTTTTTTCTTTTTTTCTAGAATCTTAATAAATATATTTAAAATTTTGATATTTATTTAAAATATTATCAATATGAAATAGATATTTATTTATTTATTAATGAACCTTTAAATTGCTTAAAAAAACTTAATTTAAATTCACATATTTAATCTTTAAATTCTTTTTTATTGACTAAAACATAGCTTTTTTTTGCTAAAAGATTACTTTTTTCTTTATAAAAAAACTAAAATATATTTTAACTTCGACATTTTATTCATTTTACAAAAAGTGCAGAGTACAAGGTCTTATGTATAAAAATAATTTACGAAATATAATAATTTGAATCTTAGTAAAATTTATATTTATTTTCTATAAATCACCAAAAATAGTTTGGAAGGGATAGTATATAAAATCTTTTAAATTGTTAAGATTAAGATTATGAAAAAAACTATGGGGTTCCTTTAAGATTAGAATTAAACAAGGTTTTTGAAACAGCTTATAAAAATGGAATAAATAAAAAAGACTTTAATTATGCTTAATAAATGATAAAAATTGCACTTTTTTTATTATTAAGTATGGCTATTGAGAATGTTTTTTCTAAAAAACAAATAAAAGAAAATTTAATTTATTATTTTAAAGAAAACTAAGATATTGAAATTAAAAAAATTGTGAAATGGATTGAAAAATGTAATTTTGATATATTAAATAATTAAATTTAGCATTTATAAAAAATTTTTATAAAAAATATTAAAAAAAATAATATAAATTGAAAGCAATATATTTAAAATAAAAAAATAATATATTTTATGTTTATAGAAATAAAATAAATATTATTAAATTAATTATTTAATAATAATAAATATTATATTTTTTACAAAAAAAAAAAAAATATATATAATATTGATTAAATAAATAGAATTAAAAATAATCAGAAAAGCCTATATAAGATAAATAAAAAAATATAAATATAAAAATAAATATATAAAAATATTATATATATATATATACTTTTATATATTTATATATTTTTATATATAATTATATATTATATTTACGATTCTTCTAATGTAGTAGATTACATAATTAAACATTGTAATAAGTCTAAATCTTAATTATTATATTTTTATGTTTAATTTATTTTTTTAATTTTTTCTTGTGTATAATTATTATTATTTTGAAGTTTCTTTTTTTCTTATTATAAAGCTCTAATTTCTACTTCCAGTAATTAAATTTTTTAAATTAATTAATCTCTTTGTTTATCTTCTTTATTATTTTATCCTTCGATGATAATTTATAGTTTTTGCATAATCTCATGCCCGTTATTTTTTATTAAAAGTTTTGAATAATTTCATCTTTTTCATTTATTCTCTTTTAATAATTTAAAAATATTTCTTGTGTATTTTTTATGTCTATTTCGAATTTTTTCAAATTTAAAAAATCATTTTAATGATCAGAAATAAAAACGATTTGGTTTTCTTAAATTATTTATATTATTTTTTGTATAATTTAATCTTTTTCTTTGTTTTATTATTATAAACTTTTCAGTATTTTATCTTATTTTTCGATTTCGGACAAATTTTATAACTCTTTTTCCTTAAAATTATTTTAAAATCCTAATTTGTTCATTAAATCTATATGTTTTTTTAATAATTCGTTATTTATATATTATTATGGAATATTTTCGTTAAGATTTATCTAATTTTCCGTTAAAAAATACACTGTTTATGGAATTAATAACTTCAATTTGCCTATAAGATCATTTTATATTTAATTTAAAATAAAATTTTATTCTTATATATTTTTGAATTCCAAATTTTAAGAAGGTAAATAAATAAAATCTTCTTATTTAAAAAAAGACAAAAATGCTACCTACTTTTTTTCTTTAAAGCTAAATTTCTATAAATGACTATAAAATTATTAATTTTTAACTAAACATACATTACAAAGTTTTTTACTAGGCTTTATTTCTTCAATAATATTATTTCCAAATAAATCTTCTTTTTTATTCTATTTTAAGGTTATTATGTGTTTTTAATAGTTTCTAGAGTTTATTAAGTTATTTGTTTTCCTATTTATTACATTTCTTTTTATAATTAAAAAAAATATTTAATTATTTTTTTATTTTACATACGCTATAAGTGCGGATAATTTAAAGTTAAAGGCTTTAATGATAATTCAGATTAAGATTAGTTTAATTTACAGTTTTCTATATATAGTTTTTTTAGTTTGGAGATTTATTAGGGAACATATATTATTTGATTTATTATTTTAAATTTTATTTAGTGATTAAATAGAAAAAAAATTTAATGTAAATAGTAATTTATTTAATTTTAATATAGAATATATATAATAAAATAAATTAATAAATATATATTTTTAATTAACTTATATAATTATATATATTATTTTTAATTAATAATGTTTTTTTTTTTAAATATATTTTTTTTTTATTATTATATATATTTTTTGTTATCAAAAAATTAAATAAATATTTTTAATTTTGATATTTCCAAATTTAAAAAAAATAAAAAATGAAAAGAAAATAAAATTTAACTTTTGAATAAAAAAGAGAAAAAATGTTAAATATTTTCCATTAAAAAGTAAAATATTATAATAAATTATTTCTTTGAAAATAACAAAAAAAAAGGAAGAAATATTTATTTTAAAAGAAGTTGAAAAACACTCTGTAAAATAAGGAATAGGCAAACAAAAAAAATAGTATTCACATAAAAATAACAAAAAAAAACATAGTATTATAAGCCGTAAAAGATGTGTTAGTATCTCTAATGTCCGATGGACTTGTAGATTCAGATAAAATAGGCTCTTCAAATTTTTATTGGTCTTTACCTTCATAAACTTATGTGGTTGTAAGTAAAAAAATAAATCAAAAAATATATAATTTTTTTTATAATATATAAAAAGTTATAATAAAGATTAAAAGAAATTGAATAAAAAACAAAAGAAAGTATTTAAAAAAAAGAAGAACTTGAGAATTAATTCGAAGAAGCAATAAAAGGAAAAGGGGTTTCGGAAGAAAGAAATGAAAGGCTTTAAAAATTAAAAGAAATTTAAGAAAATTATAAAAAAAAACTCGAAAAATTAGAAAAATATTAAAGATTTGATCCCGAGAGAATTAATTAATTAAGTTTAATTTATTATAATAAGAAAATATATATTTTTTATATAAAAATAATAATATATTTTAGAAAAGGATGTAAATTTAATTAAATAAAAAGCTAATTTATGGACAGACAATATTTTTGCAGTAAAATAATATGTTTAAAAGTAATTTAACATAAGCGAATAAGAAATAGAATAATTTTTAAATATACCTGCAGATATAGATAATATATGAAATATAAATATATAGAATATATATAAATATAAATATAAATATATATATATATATATACTACTTTCAATTTTTTTTATTAAATTCACTTTTTCCTAATAAATCTAAAAATAAATCTCTTTTATATTCTTTTGCTAAATTTAATTATTAAACTTTTTTTTCATTTTCTAAATAATTTTTTTTAAAAAAATTTTTTAAATATAATATAATATTTTTATTTTACATTTCTTTTATTTTTATTAAGCATTTTTTTAATCGTCACTAACTTCTTCTTCTTCTTTTTAATTTTTATCTACACTACTTTTTTCACTTTTTGATAAATTATTCTCACTGTTGCCACTCATGGAACCTCCCATAATGCTTTTCCTTTTTTTGCTCTGACTTTTCTCTCCTCCTTATTATTTATTAATCTCATAAATATGTTTATACATTTAGTTATTCTTATTAAACCCTTCTATTTTCTATATAATATCATCTAATTCAAAATACTTAAATCCATACCCTTTTAAGCCAATTTTAATCCTATATATATCATTATATTTTTCCCTGAATTCTAAATACTCTTACATTTAATAAGTTCTAAAAATACTCGGTCTAGCCATCCAAGCTTCACTTAGAGAGTTATATAAATTCAAAACAGTAGTTAAAATCACCTATATATATATATAAATAGATAAAAATTTTATATATTTACTTTTAAATTATCCCAAGTATACCATGTGTTTACTGAAATAGCAGTATTATAAAATAATAATATAAATATTTAAGGAACATCTTCCAAGAAGACTTTTTAAAATTTAGACATGAAAATTTATGGAATTTTAACATTCCTTAAACTTTCCGGAACTATTTTATAATCTAAGCTTACTGCCGAAGAAGTTGAAAACCTATCTAAAGTCTCCCCTATAGCATTAAATTCTTAAATAAGTGCAATTTTAGTGAACTAATTGATAAAATTTGTATTATGTAAAAGTACTTATTTTCCTGTTCTAGTATTATGTTTGTTTAGGTTATAATAGAGAATTATAAATTCCCATATTTATCCTAAAAATAAAAAAAATAAATTAATACTCATCACTGACAAACTTGCAATCCCTATATATCTAGCCTGTAATTTCTCACAATAATAAGTTTTTATAGCAAAATAATATCAGTATACATATCGTAGCGAGCCATAAACGACGAATAAGTCATAGAACAACAAAAAGCGCTTTTTACTGTAAAAATTTATTTTACGCAAATTATATTTTCGATATCTCTCAGCATTAATATTTCAAGTATTGTTTAAATAATAGAGTATATATAAAAGGGTATATCGTATATTATACTGAATTAATGACACTAATCTTAAGAAACACTAGTAATAAAATAATAAGGCCATAAAATACACAAACCTATTTAAAATACAATCATATTTAATAAAAATAAATATTTAGCATATTTTAAAATATGAAATGCTTTTTCAGTCTAATCATTTATAATAAATTAATCTTAATATGATTTTAATGGTTAAGAAGGATCCTTCAAATAATTTTTTATAGCTTTTAAATTCTATCTTTTAGAACTCTAAAAACATATATGAAAAAATATATATATATATATATATATATATATATATATATATATATATATATATATATATATATTAAATGCATTTACCACTAATGATACTCCATGTGAAAGTATATCATCTAACCTAGCCACATCTTCATCGAAATAAAAATCTTCAGATGAAATCGTTAAAGGGACTATTTTAGTAATTTCTGTCGTATATATTTTTTAAAAGCAATTTAAATTTTCTAAATATGAATCAAATTAATAATTTTTAAACCAATTTGTAATAGAAAATGTAAATTTTTTAAAAAAATGAAAAAATGTAAATGGCCAGAAAATAACTGCAAAAAAAACTACCTTCCATGTATTTATTTCCCATTATTTACTTGCTAAATAATTAATTGTATCATATAGTCCTTGATTTACTAAATTTTAAGTAATTATAGTAAAATCTTCCTCGTCTTAAGATATATTTTAAGCTTTTATTTAAATTAAACTTTTCTCATATTTAATTCTTAAACCTAATATTTATTCTATTAATTTTTATTCGGATTAATATTCGTTTGTTTAATCATCTTATATATATTTGATTATATTAGGACTAATCATTTAATTATAAGAGAGTAATTTCCATTAACAAAAATCTTTTTTATTGTCTACATTTTTTATTTAAATTAACATTTCTTCGTCATCTTCATTATCATTTTCTTCATTTTCATCATCATATTCATTATTTTCTTATTTAGTTTATTTTTATTCTATTTTTTCTTTATTAAATATATGTGGTATAAACTCGAATTCCTAATATAAAAAACAAAAATACATATATACATATATATATATATATATATATATATATATATATATATATATATATATATTATATATATTATATTAGTTAACATTAATTTTATTATCATTATCGAACTCAATTCCGTCAACAAAAATTAGTTTATCTTAATTATTTTCTAGAGCAATTTATAATAAAAGCCTTAAATTTTCTTCTTCATTCATTTTTGCAGTATTACTATTATTTTTATCATTTTTTTTCTCTAGGAAGTTATTTTTCTATGGATCAATTTTGTTACTTATTCTTTTTTTTTTTTAGTTTTCAGAAAAATTTTAAACTTGAATATTATCTAGTTCTTTTTTTCTGTTTTCCTATAGTTCTTATATTCTTTTTTCGATTATTTTTTGACTACTATTTTATTTCTCCTTTATTTACTTCACTATATTATAAATTCTATCAACCAATTGATTCTCATATAGGTTAATAGACTTTTTTAAATGCTCAAAATCATATAAAGAAGGACTAATTTCAATTTTAAATCCTTTTGGTATCCTTTAAACAATACTAGAATATAAAAACTTCAAACCAAAAGATGACAATCTTTAATTATGATATAATTAAATACGTTTCAATTAATTAAACTAATCTTAATTAGAAAGAAGAAGTCCGAAATTTTCTGCAAAATCATCCCCTACATTTAAACCTGATAGATTAATGCTTCTTAATTATTACATTTTAGATTTCATTAATTCTACTAGATTTCTAAGAAGCTTATCATCTAAATTATGGTCAGGTTTTACAAGATTATTTATCTCTTCATTTCTTTATTTATAATCACTATTATTATTATTATTATTGTTATTATTATTGTTAGTATTATAATCGTTTATATAGTTGTTATTATTATTTATATTACTATTATTATTTATTATGTGTATTTTAGTACTTATAGGCATAGTTTTTTTAACTTCTTGGTAGTTTTTATTCATTGTAACCCAAGGACTTACATAACTTTCTATATATTTATTTAAACCTTTTTAATTGAAGTATTTATTATAGGCGAAATTAATTTAATCTAGAAATTAAAAAAGGATATCGTTTTATTATTTCGAGTTTTTTTTTGTTCGTTTTTTATTAAATAAATCAACTAATTGTATTTCTATTTATTCTATTTACTAGTTTATTTCTTGAATTTCTTTTTCTAAATATTCCCTTTTTCTTGTCTCACTAATATCTTAGTTTTTTAATTAATAAGCATTTAATAATAAGAGATCGCATTCTTTTTTAATTTCTTTCATTTATTTATATTTATTCATTTAAATATTAATAATTCTCTATTTCTCTTAGTCATCTATAATATTATTTTCTTATTATTAAACTTAAGTACTGATTTTTTTTATTTAAGTTTCTTGTTCTTGTTCTTTTTTTTTCATATCATAATTATTATTATTATCTTAATCTTCTTTTTATTAAGTTTAGTTTCCTTATTACTATTATTCTGTGATTAGTTATTTTCTATTTTTTAATTGATTATATTATTCCATTTATATTCTTTATTTTTATTCTACAGTATCAAGATAACTAAATACTCCCTTTTTTTCTTTTCCTAATTAATTTTATTCGGAGGTATTTTTTTTCTATTCTTCTTCCATTTATTTTATTTTTTATTCTTCTTCGGCTTTTTTTTTTAATTCTTCTTCTTCCTTTTATTTCTTTAGTTGCTTTTCGGCTTCTTTTCTTTTGTTTTGAATTTCTTCCATTTGCTTTTTCTCCATTTATATTTAAAATTTCTACATTTCTTTCTTTTTTTCAACTTTTTCCTATTCCTTTAATTTAATTTCTTAATTTATTTTTATTTATAAGTCTTTTATTTCTTCTTTCTCTTATTATTTCATTTTCTTAGACTAAATACTCTTTATTATTTTTTAAATTTTTTACTGACATTTTGTCCTTTTATTCTCCAAGTGATACTTTAATATCTTTAATTCATACTCCACTAAATCTATCTGATTTTCCTTTATAATAACTGCTTCATAAAGTAGCTCAAAAGTGGTTGCACTAATGCTTTTTTAAAACCTTTAGTTCAAAAAATACATTATAACTGTATCAATATCCAGATTTTTCTACTAAACAAGCGAATTAAACGCATATTATACTTAAATATAATGCTCTGGTTATAAATAATGGATTGGTGAGTATTTTTAAACTAAAAATTATATCAATTAATCATTTACTATCTGTTTTAATTCCTAAGGAAGTAATTATAAAAAGGAAGTTATGTTTATCTAAAGATTGCCGTTATAACTTTTAATGGGGTCGAATATTTTCTAAAGAAACTAAATATTTTTAGGTTTAGTATTAGATTTTTTAAAAAGGAAATCTAAACGCAAATATTTAACATTTTTAGTAAAAAAAGAACAATTAATTAAAAATTCGACAATTTTCTTATACATGTTTTTTTTGGAATTATATAAACTATTAATAGGTAAATTTTCTAAAAATCTATAAAATTCAAAACTAATTTACGAAAAAAAAAAAATATATAAAAGATTGTATTTTGTTATATATATTTAAAATTGTATTTTGTAATATAATTCTTTTTATTTTTTTATGTATATATATGTATATATAAAATTGTATTTAGTTAATTATATAAAAT